CACTTAATAGATAGTTGGTGACAAAAGTTGGACACAACCAACACTGGATTTAAACTTCCTGTTTCCTGTCAAAGATCGAATCTAATAGGACTCTCTAGGCGAGAGGGGCTGTCGAATTTCGCGATAGGGATTCTACATGCAGTCAGCTCGATTGGATGCCGAAACAGATAGGAGCAAGAGAAGCACGACACGGTTCTTTCGAAACTCGTCTGTCAACGTTATAAAACACGGGATTGGCAGGCCACCGTGATAAGTGCTATTAATCATCGTGATAGACCACCAGGCATGCTTATGCACGATGATTAATAACATTTTCATACCGTCTCGGAACGGCAAAGACCAAACCCATTAACGCGAGCATCGGGGTTCGAGACGGTTACGAGATCGTTGAACCGAATAGTTTAGCCGTACTGAACGTAGAAGAATTTCATCTCGCGTAACTTTCATAATCCCGTGCGAATCGTGCACGAGAGCTGATGGAAATCGCCGGCCTGCAATAATTGTTATTAATGCCCGGTGAAACGCGGTTGCCCAACCGATGCAAGAATGGTAACGAACAATACGTTACGCGGGGTGTCAAAACGGAATGCAGCTAACGTGTTCATCTCTATTAAACCGTCCTCGTATCAACAAGCTGAATCTCCAGTTCATCGATGCACACCTAGCACCTTCGTCCCAAAATTGCTGTGCATGTAGTCCAGGTGTCGCCATTTTTCATTCTCTCGAATCATCACGTAAAGCTCGATTAGCATAGGGATCCAAGACTCCAAGACTGTCTCTCTTTCTCTCTCTCTCTCTCTCGTAAACACGGTTGACAACGACCAGCTGGTATCTCTTGGCAGAGATGGTCGAATTGACCGAAAGTAGGGAATCGTGCTTCACCACCACCACCACCACCATCGTCATGCTCATCAAAATGGCAGTCCATAATCATGTGTACACGACACGCGTCAGGACTCTATCGCGCTTCATCCACGCCCGTTAATCGCGGCCTACCCGAGGTAAACGCGTGCAGAATGTTCCATCGAGTATAAACGTGAGACCAACGCCTTATTTCTCAGACTCCCCGGTATCCCTTGGATCAGCAGGCTCGCCGCTCGGGATCCAGCCGACGGACGCTCCTTCACCCATAAACTTTCCTGCTCCAGGGGAGAGCATGGCCGACACCTCGACCCTGTCGCCGGAGGCTAACATGCCGAGCTCGCCGGGCTGCCCCGTGGTCAAAGTCAAAAGCGAGTATCTGCTAGGCATCCCGAGTCCAGGGACACCGCGAGATCCTCTTCGCGGGGCGGCAAGTGGACTGGAAGCTCGTGATACAGCCTGCTCGGACCGTGCGTCGCCAGATTCAGTCTTCCCTGATGCCACTTCGATGGTGGGCTACAGAGTCGTCGAGGAACAGCAGCAGCAGCAGCAGCAGCAGCAGCAGCATCAACAGCAGCAACAGCAGCAACAGCAGCAGCAGCAGCAGCAGCAACAACAGCAGCAACAGCACCAACAACAGCGTGCTGGTACACCTGTGCCGACCAGGCTGTCGCCATATTCGCCGATGCAAGCGGTCTCCACGACTCCCATGCCCCAAGAAGCGACTTCGAGGAGCGACAGCCCGGACAAGGGTGACTTATCGTCGGCACAGACCAAGGAGGAGTCGGATAACTCGGTTTTCGATGGCGGAGGTGGCGGTGGTAGCGGCGGTGGCGGTCGTTCGGAGACCTCCAGTCAACCTAGTCACCGGAGTAGCCCGTCCTCTCAGTACAGCCCTAGCCAGAGCGTGAGCCCCAGCGCCAGCACGACGCACGTTACTCAACAACAGCAACCGCAAACTCCGCCGACACCGCCTAGACCCCGGGTACCTTCGGTGCCGCCTCACCTTCTGGCCCACCATCAATTTTGGTCGCAGAACAACGGTATACAGGGATTCGCCACGCAAAGGCTACTGAACGGGGTCATCAGCAGTGCTGTTAACTATGGACAGAACGTTGCAGTCGCGTCCACCAGTAGTACAAGTTTGAGTAGTAGCACGGGGAGCAGTGGGAATGGGGCAACTTCCACGAGCATTGGGGCAACTAGTACGGCTTCCTCGTGTAAGTCAGTTATAACGATGAGTGTCGTTGCGTACAGTGTCCCACGGTAAGTGCCGTTTCATTTAAGCAGCAAACGATTAGACCCTACGTAGACCATTTCGGTTAACAATTCTTTACCTTTCCAATGCTACGTTTGTCTTTTAAAGTTCATTTCTTTAACACG